CTCCATGCATCTTTCTCCTCCACTGTCGTGTTCTGCGGCATATCGAAGCAAAGGGGGGTCTGATCAGCGTTGGCAATCTGGGACAAAATGAAGTCTTTCTGCTGTCGGAGCTTTATAACGAAATGGTGAAAGTCCACCACTTTGTCCTCATATTTTGCGGGCAAGCACTGGCACGAGGTGGTCCGCCTTCGCAGTGCGAGGCCATGGCGCTGCATGAAACGAGTTGTCCATCTGGAGCTGGCTTTCAACTCTTTTGCTTCGATGCGCTGCGCTCGGGCTATTCTGTGCGCCTAAGTCTGCACAATATCTAATGACACAGCACAGTCGTCTTGTCGTAGCTCCAATATATGCCGGACCAGTTGCTCTTCGACGTTCGGATACGTGCAGGTCTTGGCACTGCCGAAAGCCTGTCATGTTTTCTTCGTCACCTTAATTTTTACTTCTTGATCCCTCCAGTACGGAATACTGGTTTCTCCAACACCGAAATGCCTGCTTGCAGCCCGGTTGCCATGCTCCAGCGCGTACTGCACGGTCTTTAGTTTCAATCCAGCGGTGTAGCTTGTGTACTTCGCCACGGTGGAACCAAAGTTGAATACATGACCACAACATATGCACACCGCTTGAAAAGTGCCGTTTCTTTTTTTTTTTTCTTTTTTTTGATGGTGGTGATGTCGATCGAGCCCCGGCGTTGTACACGTGACTTCCAAGGAGCGTGCCGATTTGGGGGGTATCAGTAATTGATGGAACAGCCCCCCCTTTTTTTTTCGCTCATGGACGCTTTTTTTTTTTTTCTTTTCAAGTTTTATTTCGAAGGACACGTTGGTTAGGTCGTTGCACTTCCTATTTGTTTTATTTGTTCGTCGATTTGCCTTCTTTTTTTCTTCATGGTATGAGGACCGCGTTCCAACTGTACCGCAGAGGGGTAGAATTGTTTCTAATCACGGCCAAGTTCGGGGTGCGCCTATTATGTTGGAAAAATCGAATTTGCCACGACTAAACTTGGGGTGTGCCTATTATATACCTGCGAACTGTTCCGATTTTCCTGTAAAATGTACGAATTTTGATCGCACATAGGATTTTATGAATCTTGCCTGAAATTTACGAAAAATATTTAATTTAAAAAAATAACGTTAGTAAAATAGCGTGGCCTCCGCAATTGGCTACAGCGCATTGCCGTAGCTGGTCGCGAGGCCACAAAAACGGCGTCGTGCTATATTCCGCCACCAGGAGAGAACTATATGTATTGGTGTTATCATCACGTACTTTGAAGTCTCCCGCATTTTCCGAGAGACTCCCGGATTGCGACAGTTTCTTCCGTGTGTAGAGTTGTCATAAAAATCTCCCGAAAATCGAAATGTGTGTGCGAGATCTGGCTGCATTGACAAAAATGCAGGCCAGTTCGTTCCAGGCTTTTTGCAAGCACACCACATTATAAACAAATTTGAGAGGTGTTCATCTAAGCTTACAGTAGAGTCTTAGTGATGCAAAACCGCGACAGATACAAATTTGTGAAATTCCCCAGCCAAATTCATGTGTCCATTGGGCCAAAAATCGAATGTTCTGAACACTTTTATTAATCTTGGCGTGTGATATGAACTTTAGTACCGAAACCGTCGAATGAAGGCTGATCGAGAGCAGCGTGATCGAAGCTTGGAAAGTACGCGTGCGACTAGCACACACATTGTCTTGCACAGTGTGTGTGGTGGTTGTTGCCACAACCGCTGTAGACGAAACCGCGGTCGTTTGACACGATCATGTAATGGCGACGACGTTACTGACAGAACTCCTAAAGTGTGCGCGTGACCAGTGTTCAACCAGTGAAAACAATGTTGCTTTCCACAAACTCTGTGGAGAAAACCGCAGCAGTTGCGACCATAGATGCCATAAAACTTCTTGGTTTTGAAGGCACGTGGATTGAAAACAAAACTATTGTTTGCCGGCAACAGCCGCGCACGAAATGTCGGTCGCAGCAGTGCGATAGCAATCTATGAGCTCCGAGGGCACGTGGCTGATGCAGCGGTAGGATGAAAGGTGGTAAAGACGAAAAAAAGGCTAGAAGCGTTTTGCCATTCCTGTCCAAAGAGTCTAACAGCGAGCAAAGCAAAAATTTTTACCTGCGCTTTCGCGGCAGCCAGCTGCGCCGCCCCGTCCGTTTACGTGTGTCCCAGGAGGACGTACACGAGTTGTTTTGACGGAAATATATTTTGCTAGGGTTTTCGATGACGCGAAATTTTGGCCGGAAGCATTTGTGCTCCCCCTTTTAAACTATCGCCTTGGTGAAAACCCTACCTTCATGTGTTGGGCCACTACAAGCCATTATGAGATCGCAGCACCAATGTTCGCATTTGCGTTTTGGACCCCCCCGCTTTTTATTGTTTTTCAATAATTTTTTTGTTTTGTTTTTTTTCTTTTGGTGCCAAAAAATTCATCACGCCGATTTGACTTATGGTGGCAAAATGTGATTGTGCTTGTCGCTAAAAGCAAATTTATCACAGCTACGAACGTTTTTAAAAAGTCGATAGTAAAGTGGAATTAAAAAAAAAACAACTAAATAGACGTACCAACTAGCACATCTAATATTCACTTAGAAAATACCCTTCGCAATGGCATGTGTCGTAGTTCTTTTGAAACAAACAATGCCCAGACATGTGCATGAGCTGTGCACTGCAAACCAAACAGACATACCGTATTTACTCGATTCTACTGCGCCCTCAATTGTAACGCGCACCCGATTTCCACAGCGGAAAAAAAAAAAAAAACATAAGACATCGATTGCAACGCGCACTCATTTTTCTCGCTGGCCCGCACGATCACACCACTCGAAAAAGCGAGTCCTTTCGGGAGCGTCGTCCATTTTAATATGAGGTACGGCGGAAGCTTGTGCCCATCTGACGTGTAACAGAGCATTGCCGTCACATTAGTTTTACCGTGGATCGATGTCAGCACGCGAACTTGCTTCGCCCCCTTCTTCTCGGCGGTTGTGGTGCCAGGCATGTCGAAGTAAAGAGCCGTCTGATCGGCATTCCCGATTTGCCCAAGCAGGTAGCCGTTGTTGTGCCGCAAGTTCAGGACGAACTTCTGAAAACTGTGAAGCTTTTCATCGTACTCCTCCAGAAACTTTTCGCATATGCCCGTTCGCTTTCGGAGGGAAAAGCCTTTCTTCTTCATAAAGTTAGTTAACCAGCACCTGCTTGCTTTCAACTGGCTCTGCATTAGCCCTTTTTCTAAGGCTAACTGCATAGCCCGCTCTTGGAGCAGTTCTGTCGTCACGGGCCGCTGTGCCGCTCGCTGCTCAAGCAAATACTCGCCGAGCAGCTCTTTAATTTGCGGAAACCGACCCTGCTGTGGTTCACTGAAGCCTTTGCGTGTAGCTTTGCGGTCGACAATCTTCTGCTTTTGTTTCTGCCGGTCCTGCACGCACGTTTCGGGCACTCCGAACGACCGCGATGCGGCCCGATTTCCGTCCGTTTCTGCACACGCGAGGACTTTTCTTTTAAAAGCGGCATCGTGGTGCACTCGAGTTTTTGGAGTCGGCCCTTCCACGCCGTCGATGCTAATGCACTACTAGATGACGAACTCCTCAGCACACGTACGAAGTGCCGCACATGGGAAACACATAGGCTGAAATGGCCGACGCGCCATGCCGACGCACGTAGGGGGCGGCCATTTTGGATTTGCCGATGGCAATAGATTGACCGTAATTTTTTTGTTCGTACTCGATTCTAACGCACATGCGATTTATGAACTCGCTTAACCGGAAAAAAGGTGCACGTTAGATTCGAGTAATTACGGTACTGATCGCGTGAAATTACTGTATATATGGAGAGAGCATCCCAAGCAACTTGGTTGTTTAAGGCCGAATACGCAGTGGTTGTTTATGATGCCTTGTGGTCGTAGTTTATTACGTGGATTGAGGGTTGTCCTTTGGTTATCTTGAACGTTGTATGTGTGCGGTCATTGACTTACTTTTTTAAAATATTGTGCTCTGTGCTGTCGCATGCCACAGAGGCATGCATTATCGCTTGTCTTGTGCCATTGCAAACAGCATACAAGTGCCCGCCCCGCGATCAGTGGAAAGGTGAGTACGACAGTCTGCCAGATCTACCAAACGAATAGCTGTATCTATAGTACAACCAGAGAACATGTATGGCTGCGTGAGTGAGTGCTTCGTGTTCACAGCACTTGCTACTGAAGGAAGCAGAAAAGAAAATTGTAGAGGGTGTAAAAAAGGGCAGAAGCGGTGTGCCAGGAATGCAGACTTTGTTCTTTGGCGCACGAAAGGTGGATCCACACTGTCTTGCAAAGCTTGCAAAGTGGTGTGAATTTTGCGGTTGGGTCTCGTGTGGTGGCACCGATTTTCTGCTGTGTGCAGCACCGCCTGTGGGACAACAGCAGTCATGCTCTCTCACGTGTGTGCAATGTTGGCCGTCTGTTTTAAAATGCATATATCGTAATATATTATTCTTAAGTCTAGCTATGTTGCAGTCCAACAACTAAATTGCACAGAGAATTAGAAATGAGGTTGTAAAGCACTTTTGTGCGCGCAAGTCACTTCCAAAGGTGTCGACCTTATTGTCAAAACAAGTGCGTGTCTATATGTTTTCTTCTTCGTTAATGTAACTGATAAATTTGGTCAAGATTTTTCCTACCTTGTTGTTGGCATTGTTATGGCCCTCTCATTGCCTGAACAGCACACAAAGCATTAGAGAGTCATCGCAGATCGAAGATAAACAATTGGCAACTTGGGCACTATAAATGCTGCTATATGCAACTGGTTTCGTTTTTGTGCCCAATACGACATGTTGGATAAAGCTTACGGGATCGACTGAAGGCACTATGCATTTTGAATATCCCCTATTATGAGTGAAAATTTTGAAAGAAACTTCACATTTCATTAGTAACACTTTACGTTGAATAAGGAGTTTATGAATATTTTGAAACTGTCCTAAAACATTTTTTCTAAGTGTTACTTTTTTTTCTATTTTGACCTGCATCTACAGAAGGACCCTGGTTTTGACAAGAACCTTTTCGAAAAGCAGATGTCAGTCATGCGCGGTCAGGTAAGCTACTTTCTTTTTTCTTTCCTCATTTAAACAATGTATTTGTTGAAAACCAGAAGGCTGAAAGAAAAATAGTAATTGCTATGTGACATAGCAGTATAATGAGCAACTCAGAAACAGGGGCTGGGTGCTGGAGCCGAAGTTTCAACAAACCTTGTATTTTTTCAAAGCTGCAAAAAAAGTCATGTCTATTAGTCGAAACGTCGGCTTCAGCACCCAGCCCCTGTTTTCGAATTTCTCATCACAAGCTTCCATCTTACCTTTCTTGCCGAGCTTTTGTAGCAGTGTAATGTCATATTGCGACACTGCTGGGGGGACATCAATGCTCTGGATAAGTGAACCATTGCGAAATCTTCTACGCATGGAATCTGAAGAAATTGTCAAAATATGTTACATTTACTGAAAAGGATTAGCTGTGCAGCAGTCAAATGCAAAACCAACCCATTTAGGGGCAGTTCCTGTTTTCACAGCAGGGTGGTCTTGAACCACCCCTTCCTTGTTCAAGGTGGAGAAACATGATGCTGAGAGCAGATATGGCTGTGAACATGTAGGGATATCTTGTAGTTTTGTTCAACACCACCACATTTAAGCTAAAGCATCTTAAACTTTATCTGCTTCATTGTTGAAGCTTAAAAAGCTGATTGCTGCTTTTGGCTGACAAATCAAGAGCTGCATTTGGATCAGAAACACTTCTTGCCACAGGGTGTTACCACATGCCTGCACCAGGCTGCTAAAATTGCACAATAACTACACTAGCATGCACCATAGAATCGTAACAGAAATGAGCAAATTCATTTCATGTTATGCGCTGATGTAGCTTCTCTCCCCCGTGTCATCCCTCCCAGTATAACTTAGAGCACACTATACTAAAACCCTATAGCCTTGCGCGCACGACCGAAGCGTCGTAGATGGCGACCTTGCTTATCACTTTTGCGAATGCAAGCAGACAATCGCCGTTGTTACCTATGTTGTTGTATGTGTGTTTCCACGCCTTTCTGTAACAAAATGGGCAACGCTCGTAGTATTTGTGGTGGCCGAAGCATCAAGGAAGTAGTACTTGTTCTGGGGTGGTGTGCTCAGACACCTAAAAAACACGCACGCAAAATGGTTTTCCTCATTTACCGCAAGGCCTTGTGAACCAGAGCGACGGAAGCAATGGATCACCGTCATTTGTTTGGAAAGGCTAGTTGCTCCGTCATTGTGCGAGTTAATGCATCGCTTCTTGTTAGGTGACGACTGTATATAGCTTTTGAGAGAAATATACCGAGAAAATTCAGTTTGCATAGAATCAAAAGAAATATGTAGCAATGACAGCGTTGAAATTAAGAAGGGGCTGAGACAGAGATGTCTTTTGTCCCCACTGTTATTCATGCTATACGTGGTGAGGATGAAAGAAGCACTTGAAGCTAGCAACGTTGGGTTTAATGTGTCACACAAACAGGCTGGTGCAATGGTTGAGCGAAAGCTTCCAGGTCTATTTTATGCAGGCGATATTGTCGTATTTGCAGACAGTCGAGAAGAAAATATACAGCGGCTGGCAAATATTTGCGGAAAGGAAGGCGAGGCTCTAGGACGAGGATTTAGTGCAACAAAATGTGGAGTGATGGTATTCAATGATCACAAAGACCAGGCGGTTTCAATACAGGGCTAAAAAGTACTGCGGGTAAGCTAGTACAAGTACCTCGGAGGATGGGTAAATGAGGGATACAGATAATATGGCGGTATGTACAAGAAAAAAAAAACATGGGCAGCATAAGGAAAGAGGAATGCTGCAATAATAAAGCACAGAGCGTTTTGGAGATACAATAGGTACGAAGTCCTCCCAGTTCTGGGGAAAGGCGTAATGGTTCCAGGGCTTACCTTTGCAAACTAAGTGGTGTGCATGAAGTCAGAGGTGCAATCAGGAATGAATGTAAATCACAGGACTGTTGGGCGCTCACGGGAAGACGACAGGCGCTCACGAGAAAACGACGAACGAGGCTGTAAAGGGGGATATAAGATGGACAGGCTTTGAAGTAAGCGAAGCTCAGAGCAAAATTAAATTTGATAAGAGGCTTAGTAAAATGAAGGAGTGTAGAAGGGCCGGAAAAGGGTTCAAGTTTTTGTATAGGAAGAGCATGAGCACAAAGTGTAGAACAGGAACTAGGAGCCTCACCAGTAAACATACGGCTGGCAGTGTGGGCGATATGGCAACAAGGAGCGTTACGTGAAAAGTCAGATGCGTAGAGGATTTATTAGATGACAGTGATGGAAAAGGAGCCGGCTCTCAGTAAATACTGAAAGGGCGAGAACAAAATAAGGCGGGAGAGGTTTTATGATAATTCAAGGGGAAGCGCTCTACTGTTCGAAGCGAGGTCGGTTTGCCTTAGAACGGGTAGTCGTAAAGCGAGGTTCAATAAAGAAGAGGAACAATGGACATGCTGTGGGGGAGCTAAGGAAACGATGGAAAATGTTTTAATTGAATGCAGGGATATGCACCCAGGTATACATGTGGGTACAAGCCTTCTTGAGGCTTTGAGTTTGAGTGGCGAACATGGAAAACTGAACACGTCCGCAATGGAAGCAAGCAAGTAAGAGACGGTTATAGTACTGGTGGCAGATAAAGAACAGTGATAGCGGGAAAATGAGGTCATTCTGCCTGAAGAGGCATAGATATGGAACATAAATTTACACTTTGTTATAATTGAAGACGCTGATGTTTGAAAACTGTTTATTACACCGGAAGGAACACAACTGACACGACACAGCATGGTCGTCGTGCTTTTAACAAGATAACAGCGCCATCAAAAAATATGCACGCATGCTCTATGCAATGAATAGCAAAACACGTTTCTCGCGATTACAACAATAATAAGATCGATTTATTCGCAGTAGATAAGGCATTAGGCAAAAATAAAAAGAAATTTTTTTTAAGAGAGAAAGAGAGCCTTGTGGCACACATGTCACCACCCCGTTATAAGAGGGACACTCATAGCGCGCACGCACGCGCGCACACACACACACACACACACAGACACACGCGCGCGCACGCGCGCGCGCGAATTGGACTTATTATTTAGTGCGAAGAGCATGCAAGGACAGATATTTCGGTGGCTCAAGGTAAACATGCCTACTATATTTACTTATCTTGACTTAGCAGTCACAAATAGCATTGATTTTTCTTTGACAATTTATGATGCCAATGCTGGAATTTCTGCGAAATGATCAAGCTCAAACAGCGAATCAGTTCAGAGTGACCTTGAATGAGAGCGGCTCGCTTTTTTCCTTCACTAGCGGAGTTTCACGACAGAGGGTGCGTCAATGCTGTGCCTGATTTCGTGACCTTTTCAGGACGCCTGAGTGAGCACAGTTTTGCCTCCTCAAGAAGTCTTGCTCCGTGGCTTAGATAAAGATAGTTGAAGCTGGAATTCGCGGTGGCCAGAAAGAACCTGCAAATTCAGTGGATGTAACTGTATCGTGGGATGCGCTACATGTGACTAGAGGGGGGGGGGGGGGGTGCTGATGACGTGGAACTTGGCACATTTTTGTTTGCTGACAACGGCGCTTTGTGTACGGTAAAAATGTCAGATGCGGCGCTTGTTAAAATTATACAAGATTGAACTCACAAAGAAGGTACATCAAAGAAAGATGCACAGCTAAGTGGTGCTCTTCAAATTTGCAATGTCGTGTCCTCATACGGGACAACATGCAGGGTTTGCTTCATCGCAAGAGTTCATACTCAAAGTCTGTGAGGTCTTTCAGACTCATTGTATGGACTACACAGCTACCCACAGGAGCATCTCCTGTAGACATACGTGGTTTGTCATCAACATGGTAGCAACATCATTAAAAGATTACGTTATCTTCTGCTGAAGAGAACCATGTATAAATGCGAAGCAGCGGGCGCTAACACTTACATTTGTGGCGATGTTGACACTGGCGCTCATTGTGGTATTGCGCAGGACAGAAACCTGGGGAGGCACAAAGCACCCAGTGAAGGCATGCCAATCACTGCTAATGGGCAGTGAGAGGCAGAAGACTCCGGTTGGGCACAGAGATCCACAGTCCGCTTTTAACATGCACACTGCAAATTTCAGGGGCGAAGGTCCTATTAGTCTAACCTTGTCATGCGTCTGCGTAACCGGGAGAAGAGACGAGAAAGAAAAGGCAGTATCTCCCTAACGGTATAATAGACGGCGCTGTCTCATAGAAGTACATACAAACTGCAGTTGAGTGAGGATCTTCTAGATGGCGTTGATTGGCTGCTGCGCTGGCTGTGCCTGGGTACGCAAAGAACGAGTGCCTCTCTGAGTCACTGGAAAGTCGCTGTACGTGGCGGATCGTTGGGGAGGCATGGACGAAGCAGAGCGGCGGGCGCGTTGAAGAAGCTTGCCCTCGGCTTCCTTGGCATGCGTCTCGTCGGTGTTACCCGCGCATACCTGTAAAATGTACGAATTTCGATTGCGCTTACGAATTTAGGAATCTTGCCTGAAATTTTACGACAAATATTTCATTTGCGATTTTAAAAAAAGTAGTAAACAAGCGTGGCCTCGCGATTGGCTATGGCGCATCGCCGTAGCTAGTCGCGAAGACTACAAACACGGCGTCATGCTATACTCCGCCACCAGGAGAATACAATATGTATTAGCGTTATCATCATCACATACCTGCCAAGTCTCCTGCATTGTCCAGAATACTCCCGGATTTCGACCTTCTGTTGTATGGTTGTCGTGAAAAATCTCCCGGAAATCGAAACTTGTGTCCGAGATCTGGCCGCATTGACAAGAATGCACGTTAGTTCGTTCCAGGCTTTTTGGGAGCCCACCTCATTTTATTATAAATGAATTTTAGAGGCATTCATCTAAACTTACATTAGTAGAGCCTCAGTGATGTGAAACCGCAACAGATACAGGTTAGTGAGATTCCCCAGCCAAATTCATGTGTCCATTGGGCCAGTCTGAATGTTCCAAACACTTCTACTAATTGCGGTGTGCGATATGAACTTTACCAAAACCGTCTATGAAGGCTGATTGAGAGCAGCATGCTCGAACCTTCACAAGTACGAGTGTGACCAGCACACGCACTGTCTTCTACAGTGCGTGTGGTTGTCGTTGCCACAACAGCTGTGGACGATACCACGGTCGTTCGACACGATCTTTTATGGCGACAACGTTGCTGACAGTACTCTGTACTCTGCGCGCAAAACCGTAGTCACGACAATGTGATGGCGATCTATGAGCTCCGAGGGCACGTGGCCGATGCAGCAGTAGATTAAAGGCAGTAAAGACGTAAAAAAGGCTAGAGCTGTTTTGCTGTTCCTGTCCAAAGAATCTAGTAGCGAGCAAAGCCAAAGATTTGACCCGTGCTTTCACGGCTGCCAGCTGCAAGCCGTCCCATCCGTTCGCGTGTGAAGACATACGCGAGTTGTTTTGACGGAAGTAGACGTTTTTGCTAGTTGTTTTGATGACGGGAAATTTTGGGAGCATTTCCCTTTTGAGACATTGACCTTAGTGGGAAACCCTACCCTCGTGGGCTCTCCAAGCCCTTATGAGACCGCAACGCCGATATGTCACTTGCGTTGGTCCGTTCATGTTCTTGCTTCCGTCCGTTCATGCGTCCATCCATGCATCTGTCTGTTTGTCCGTTCGTCCATCTAGTGAACGCTCCAAGTACCACCATCTCAGATCTTTTCATCATATATTCCCCATATAGAAGCACCGCCATCCAGCGGAGATTTTAAGGACTAAACGAGAGGTGGCACACGCACACTTTCTTACGGCTTGCACTTCGGGTCTATTTCTCACCTTTAACCACCTCGAGTTCATGGTATATGTGTTTAGAAAAACTTTATTCTACTTTCGGCATCCTTATCCATACGAGCACACACCGAAGGCAACAAGCATCGTCAGCTGCAAACCTGTATCGCGATATGGTTTTGATTATAAAACTATTGCTTTAGAAAACACCTGGCGTCTTTCGTTAAGCAGCTGGCGTCTTTTCTTTTTGCTTTAGAAACATCTGGCATCTTTTCGTTTTGCTTTTAGAAAACATCTGGCGTCTTTCGTTGGTTTTTTTCATCAATCAACGGCGTTTTGAACATTAATCACGGAGGTAAACAATGGCTGCTACTGGGAATGGGAGACAGCAGAAGTCGGCTTTTAGCTAACACTTACACTTCTACTTCTACTAACGTTTCCTACTGGAACATGCCAATGGCTGCTAATGGGGAATGAGAGACAGAAGAATTTGGCTTTCAGTTAACGCAAACGCTGCGATTTTTTTTATTGTTCAACAACGCACAGGAGAAATCTTACACCAGCACCCTCTTGAGGTCAAAGCGTAAGACATGTTACGTACTACGAGGGACGAACGGGTGTCGCTTTAAGGAGCTTCGCCCCTAATATGAAGACAAGAAGAAGACGAGCCAGGGGAAGTTGCACATGCTGCTGCAGCACAAGAAAACGAGAAAACCAAGGAGGAGACAAACAAAGGAGAGAAGTTCATGTGGAACACTCAGAGTAGCTGGTCAAACTGAACAAAGGACATGCAGATCAAGTGTGCTGTTTGTAGAACTACTTCTGACGGTTTGTGGTTGAGGCCTGGAGCTGAGCAGCTTGCTTCATGGTGCAAACAAAGGCGGACGGTGGCTCCTGCTTCTACACACAGAACCAGTGCACTGTCCTTGGAAGCTCCTCCATACCCGACAGTTCCTGACAAGACACTGGAGCGAGGTGCCTGCCTTCTACAGCAGAAACTAGGCACGGCTCCTGATGCAGAGGCAATTGGTTGCTCATTGTCGCTACCACCTGGAACGATATAAGGTCGTGTTAGAGGAAGCCTAGCGGAGGCTTTGTATTCATGCCAACGCCACATGCAGGTCGACTATCGCTAGTCTGCTTTGGCTCACCTTCTACAAGGGTCATAGCAGCCCTTCAAGATTTTCTTCCCACGAGAAACTTGTCACCGTCGAACTTTTTTGAAACCTAGTTTTCTTCATAGTTATCACACTCTGCCTTTCGGACTGGCTGCATAGTTTAACTGTATTCACTTTTGCTCTGTGCTATATATTTGCCTATCACGTAGGTCATTTGTGTGTTTTGCCACGTTAAGTGTTGTCTCAAGCCTACACGTCTTTTGTTTATTGTTCCTTTCGTTGACCATGACCCACACACATGGTGAGCCACCCTGTCATTACACCTACCATTGATATAGTAGGAGAGTGAAATGCAAAAGGAAACATTTCTTGTGGTGTGCTGGAGTTTTGAATTTTAGTTATCATGCACTAATTTTCATAATGCATTTGCATTGGTCTAAGCATCCATTACTGCACACGTTCCAGTTCTAAATAATGTATTTGAGGAAATGTTGCAGGTCCCCTTAAATGTTTAGGCTATTCAGCTGTCAGTCTCATTTTTTGTTATTGCAGATTGAGAAAACCTGGAGCTGGTGCTAACAGGACCAATCGCGCTTCAGTGTTTCTACTTAAGGCACATGTCATAGTGAATTCTTTTGTCTTTGCAGATCTTGAATTTGAGCCAGGCATTAAAGGATGGCAAGTCTCCGGTACAGTTGGTCCAAATGCCCGCTGTCATCGTCGAGCGGAGCAGCCGACGACCAGGTGCTCGTGGTCGTATCAAGTCGCTCAATGACAACTTTATCCAGAGCTTCCAAAACAAGGCCCCTTTCTTCTCTTGGTGCTGACACCCCAGCCGGGGGTTGTGACTGCTAAAAGCACATTTGGTTTACCCTTCTCCTGGTGGCTTTCTGTATTTTTTTTTCCTTTGGTATAATTCTTAACAAAGAATAAAAACAACATTGGAGCCATTGATGGGGGTGCAGCAGCTCAATGTGTGCGTTTTGTGGGTGCTCAACCCCTTCCCTCCTCCCATATTTTATTTTTCTGACAGTTGCTGCATATTGCTAGTCACTTGCGGAGAATCCTGTAGTGCTTGCCTCTTAACGCTAAACTTATTTTTTGCTGCAACTCCAAGCTGCCAGGAATGTGTTTAGAAATTAGGTGTATTTTCCCAATAATAATATTAATGCCCCAAATATATGAATAAATGGAGAAAGCTTGTGGCATAAGTAAGAAGTAGGTATGAGCAGCGACTTTTCAAATTTTAGGGCAATTTTAGAACATCAGTTCACTGCTATGGTGTGTGCTGAGATTTCAATCATCCATTAAGAGGTAAAGGTATGGTGAAACATGCAAGGCTAGTTGTGGGATGCTTCAGTGATATCTTTCATATTACATCAGGAAATGTGTCCTGTGAACAGCAGTAGTCATCAGTAACTACTCAATTATGTAAATAATTATTGTTCCAATTACTATAGGGCAAAATTGAAGCTGCAGAATCGAAGCTAGTCAGTATTGAGACATGTCCATTTAAGAGTTGACAGAACGCTTCATAGTTCATCACTCATATGAAATATTTACTGGTGCATGCAAATACGGTCTGGTTTGAGTTGCCTTATTGCAACATGGGCACTAAGGTAAGGAAAATATGTTAGTCTCCATTTCACTTTCTCAAAGAAACAACTTTGGCTTGTATATTAAAAAAAAAGCTTCAGATTTCAGGTCTATTTACCACTTGTATAATGTCATAACCATGCTGTTGATGTCTGTTTAGCTATTTGGTGTTTAGGAGCAGTTTGCTATAAGTTATAGCCTCACACAAAAGTTGTTACACAGTTGCATTACTCCAAAATATTTATTGCTTCTTACTTTTTGTTTCTATTTTGCTTCACATTTTTTTTGGTTCAAATTATGCAATAAACTACGGAATCATTGACTGGATTATTGTGACCTTAAATTGCTGTTATACCGTGAAACCAGTCTACATTTCTGCAACAGCTTATTTTAGAGATTACAAGGGGAAGAACTAAACCCTTCTTAACGCATCTGAAAAAAGGTAAGCAAAGATGCTAAGTGCCTTATTGAGTTTGTACCAAAATATGCAAGCTTGTTGCAATATATCAGTGGATACATAATAGCTATAGCGTCATGAAGTCGTTTTTAATGCAAGTGCTGGTCACTGTATGCCACCTGCATAAATTTTCATTTATTTTCACTTGGCATGTATGTGCATGAAATGTTGTGCTAGAGCATAAATAGTAGCTTTATGAACACGTAAGTGATGTTCTATCAGAGCGCCCTGCTTTATAAAACCAAAGGTTACATTTCAATGTGGTAGCTATTTTTGGGTGTGAGCTGCTGCATCCTCTAAGCTGGCTGGTGCACTACTGTGTGTGTCATGTGCATTCCAATGAAGCCACAGTCTGTATGTTGACATAGCTTGCCTTCATTAGTACAGTCTTATTGCCAGCCGTGAGAAGGACAACGTTAAATTTATGTACGGGTTTTTATGCATCATTGGGGCAGTTTTAATATGATAAAAACTGTCAGAGATGTGCAGTTTGTGCTCCATAAACACCTTGTATGTGAGTAGAGAAAAATATCAGTGTGGCAGGTTTCTAGGTGCATGTTCCTGACTTGCTGAAAAACTCGTTTTGGAGAGTGTTTTCGGGAAGGTGAAGCAATTATGATACAAACACGACTGGTAGTACTTCTTTGAATTATTGTATTCCTCGAGTTGCTAGTATGTGCTAAGACTAGCTTGAATTTGTTTTATTGCCAATTCGGGGGAATGTGTTTCACTGAACATTTAGAAAAGAACTACAGACAGCAGGTATTAAAGAAGTGTACATTTTTTTAGGAATGAACACATTGTTTTTATTTTGCTAAATAAATATGTTTCTTGTTTAATAAAAAAAATGTTGCACCTGTGCAGCGGTTCAACCTGAAAGGGACAGCGGCTGCTCAGAACTGCTATTTAGATAATCCCTTTTTTGGAAAGATAATATATTGCGTTGTCCAAAAAGAGCCCCATTTTTCTCCTTGGACGCAAATTTATATTTCTATTTCTTTACAGAAGTAACTTCTGGCACCTCACGTGGCAAAATGGAGACGCACATGATGGCAATCGCGTGACCTTTTACTGGTGCACGCGATTAATACTCAAGTTCAAGTACCTTGAGTGCCGAACCCATGGGGTGGTAAATTAAGGGATTCCACATAACGACGAAGTTTTGACGTTTATCTGCAGTTTTGACATGACATGCTTTATCATGGTGCCGGAGCAAAAGGCGTGTCAATACACGTCTCGCTAGGCTCCTGGCGTCATCCGCATAACTTATTCTGCCGGATTTTAATATTGACAAACTTGAAAACGGCATCAGTGAAGGCGCTTAACCACATAGCTACACTCGCTCCTGTCAAAGTATATTGTTGGGGGTAAAGATGTGTGTGAGGAAGGCCATCAGAACCGCAATCAATTTCAAGAGTTGTAGAAAGCACTTTCATTTTTTTTCAGTGGCTTTCGAGATGAATTTCTTACAAAATATCCGCGTACTTTTGGAGTCAACCGTTGCATGTTGGAAGGGTCTGGGAGGGGGTGTCTTTCATTGTGCCGTAGTTGGGCCCATGATGAACGAATTCGCTCTCCCTTCTGGAGAAAGGGGGACCCAGCCTATACGTCTGCCATGGGCCCTTGTGGCGTCATCGGCCTGCCATGATAAGCATACTTGTATTCGAGTTGAAGCTGATAAGCATGGCCTTCCACCCATGCCCGACGGGGAATTGGCCCCTCTTGGTGGTTTCCAGGACACGGTGTAAGAACAAGTTCGGTGGTGATGACACTGCGCGGCGCCGCGTCCAGGTTGTGTTCGCCGTCTTGGCTGTTTCCGTTTGATGCGACAGATAGCGGTCATGGAGGGTGGGTCTAGAGGTAGCATGTACAGTAACTTTAGTAGGTCTAAGCCACTGGTCAAGGCGCTCACTGTGGAGCGACTCCTATCCGCGTGCAGAAGGTTATTGCTGCGGAGCCTCGCTTGTTTATTACGCGCGATATACACATGTGCAGTACGGTACACTGTTAGGGGGAACATGCAAACGTGTGGCCGGCAGCCCGCGTGGCACGAACTGGTGGCGAAATTCGTAAATGTCGCGCACGCGCATAAAAGCGAAAAGGCGGCGCTTGTCGGGTTTCGTCTGCTACTCTGCGCTTGCCGAGCGTTTTCGTTTTTCCGCGGCGCGATTCATGCCACCGCCGTTCTGCCGGCGCCCTGTCAGGTAATAGCAGGTACAAAAAAAGGTGCAGCTTTTTCCTTGCTGTGGTTTCTCACCCTTTCTGATATTATGCGATTCACGCTCACAGCGGTCGGTTTTATTTAAAGGCGTTAAACAATCAAAAATCGTGCATTTAAGATATAAGCACGTTAATAAACGCTTAATAATATTAGATAAAGGTGTTTCACATAGAATATGATTATGGGAGAGAACGCAGCTGAAGGCTCTGGAAATTTCAACCACCTCTTAACGCACACCTAAGTACACGCGCCGCGAGCATACCTGCTTCCATCGATAATGCAGCTGGGATTGAATACTGTGAACTGCATGTCAGCAGTCGAGCACCATAACTCCACCGTTATGGTGCTTCGAAGGCTATCCCGGCAAATATTAGTTATTACGTTCTGAATCGTACGAGTATTTTTATTATATTTATTGAAGCAACATCGGTAGAAGCTTCATATTTCGGATATTCGATAACGCGCACGTTTACGAAAGGTACTACGCTTCATCAACATGTGCCCGCATGAAAAATGCGTAGGACTATACACTGGAGTAAACACGGAAGAGAAAATTTATTCGTTATATTTTTGTGACAAAAGATGAACCAGGCCAGATATACGGCCTCTCAATGTTGGAATAAGGAAAAGCTTCGTTTAGGAACGGGTGATGCCACCTCCAATCAAAATCGAGTACGGCTTTCATCCTTGCAGGCAGATGCTTGTACAGAGCTTTCTTGAAGAATGAATCGCGCTTAGCCACTCCCATTATTCGTTTACACTAGCGCAGAGATCCGCAGATTTTGCGGGGAGACTCAGGCGAAAGAGAGATGATTCAGTAATGAAGTAGTGGGGCATGCAAAGCTCGGCAACCACATCGGCAGTGCTAAGCACGAGATGCTCGGCCCTTGTGGCTGCTTTCGTTGGCTAGGCCTACGATCCTACGTAGGCCTAGCCATCGTCTCAAATAACAGTTCTGGTCTGCATTTCCGATGGAGGCGGAAATGTTGTAGGCCCGTGTGCTCAGATTTGGGTGCACGTTAAAGAACCCCAGGTGGTCAAAATTTCCGGAGCCCTCCACTACGGCGTCTCTCATAATCATATGGTGGTTTTGGGACGTTAAATCCCACATATCAATTAACAGTTCTGGTTGTCCCGGTTCTTTATTTGGGGGAGTTTTCTGTGTCTCTTCACAATCCTGGAGTTGCGAGGCCGGACTTGACCTACCGCCATGACCACTACAGCTGCCACAAGCCCTCCACCTATGGCTCCCCAGGCCATCGTGTGCTCTGGCGCGGTCCATCAGCGGGACCCTCTTATATTTAGCGGCACGGACGATCACGACGTCGACGACTGGCTGGCTACCTACGAACTCGTGTCTTGAACAAATGGGACGAAGCCATGAGACAGGCCACCGTCGGCATTTACATCAGTGGCATTGCCCACTTGTGGCTGCGGAACCATGAAACCGATGCTCCAACCTAGACAGCATTCAAGACAAAGTTCAGCGAACAAAATAACACGAAAGGATGTTTATCTTTTGCCTCAGATTGATGACGCCCTCGACCCTTTACAAGGCGCAGAGTTCTTTTCTTCTCTTGATCAATGCTCTGGGTATTGGCAAGTGCCCATGAACCTGGATGATAGGCCAAAAACTGCCTTTGTTACACCGGATGGCTTATACGAATTTAACGTGATGCCATTCGGCCTATGCGATGCGCCGGCCATATTTGAGCGCATGATGGACACTATCCTACGAGGCCTCAAATGGAACACGTATTTATGCTGCTTAGATGATATGGTGGTATTCTCACCCAATTTTCCCACGCACCTTCGTCGCTTGGAACAGGTTCTAGGCTGCCTCTCTGCAGCAGGCCTCCAACTAAACTTGAAGAAGTGTCACTTTGGAGTACGCAAGCTGACCATTCTCGGACACGTCGTGTCGAAGGTTGGCGTTCTCCCTGACCCCGCTAAGCTACGTGCTGCTCGTGAGTTCCCGATGCCCGCGTCTCTCAAGGAACTGCGTAGTTTCATTGGGCTTTGCTCATACTTCCGCCGCTTCGTACAGGGTTTCGCCTCGATCATGGCACCTCTGACAGACCTACTTCAGGGAGACCACAATCTATCTGCGTGGTCTCCAGCCTGCGACAGTGCCTTTGCGAAGCTTCGTGAACTGCTTACAAAACCACCCATACTGTGTCATTTCGATTCAAGCGCTCCCACAGAAATCCACACGGATGCTAGCGGTGTCGGTCTTAGCGCTGTACTCGCCCAACGAAAGCCTGGTTACCAAGAATATGTTTTTGTATACGCGAGCCGCACTCTTACAAGAACAGAAGGAAATTATTCAGTAACTGAGAAAGAATGCCTAGTGATCATCTGGGTCATTACGAAATTTCGGCCTTATCTGTACAGACGCCCTTTCGATGTTGTTACGGACCAGCACGCGCTCTGCTGGTCATCCTTCCTCAAGGATCCCTCCGGACGCTTGGCACGATGGGCTTTAGGGCTCAAAAGTACGACATCCGTGTCATTTATTGCTCAGGCCAAAAGCATGCCGATGCTCTTTCGCGTTCGCCTGTTTCTGCTGATAATGCGAGTGTCTCCATCCAACACAACTTACTTCTACTATCAGGACCCATCGACATGGCTGCGGAGCAGCGCAAAGACTCGTGGATTGCGTCTCTGGTGGATTACCTATCTGAAACACTCGCCCACCCACCATCTCGAGCGCTACCCGACCAGCTTCTCACTTCGCCATCCGTGATGGAATACTTTATCGCCCCAAACTACCACCCTAACGGCCGCAAATGGCTCCTCGTCATACCCAGGCATCTCCGTGCCAGCATATGTGCTGCTTTCCATGCCGATCCGCAGTGTGCGCACACCGGTTCGTTTAAAACCTACGCCAGGCTACTTTTTCGGCTTTATTGGCACTGCATGTACACATCCGTTCAAAAGTACATTTCATCTTGCACAGAGTGCCAATGCCGCAAGCACGATCCTAGCCGTCCTACTGCACTAATGCAGCCGTTACCGTGCCCAGTGCGACCATTCGACTGGGTTGGAAATAGACCTTTATGGTCCTCTGCCATATACATCAGCTGGGAATCGCTGGATTATTGTAGCGATCGACCATCTCATAAGATATGCAGAAACGGCCGCTCTACCAGCCGCGACGGCACGTGACGTTGCGTCTTTTCTGCTGCAACGTTTTCTTCTGCGTCATGGCGCTCCACGTGAACTTTTGAGCGACCGAGGCCTTGTGTTTCTTGCGGATGTTATTCAAGAACTTCTCGCGGAATGTCATGTGATTCACCGCTGTATTACCGCATATCGCCCACAAACAAACGGCTTGACCGATCGTTTCAACCGCACTCTTGGCGACATGCTTTCTATGTATGTCGCCTCCGACCACACCAGCTGGGATCTTATCCTTCCCTACGTAACGTACGCTTACAACACGGCACCTCATGTGACGACAGGCTTTTCTCCCTTCTTCTTACTCTATGGTCGAGAGCCATCATCTCCAATCGACACCATTCTCCCCTACCGACCCGACTCATCCGAAGGCACACCAGTTTCCGAAGCCGCTCGGTATGCAGAAGAATGTCAGCAATTAGCTCGCACCCTTACAACACAAGAACA